ATGAATTGTTGTGACTGGTAGTCACGGGGTATTGGGTTTATGTTTTGTAAACAAATCTTGGGCCTACGGGTCGACTACTTGACTTATATATAAAGTAAGTATATTTTGGAAAGGGGTAACTTGGGGTTACGGCCAAGATTATGTTATCACCCTATTTGAGGGTCTTGTGTTTGAAATACTTGTTGTATATCTATTAGATTCCATCCACACCAGTACTTTATAGCCGCATAGAGTACTGACCGCCTTTCGGGGAGGCGTCCCACCACCATTTCAGGTTGAGGCTAGAGCTTGCTACCTGTGCTCGTTGCTCGGGTGATCATCTTGGAGAGAAGACTTGGTTCATGCTTCCTCCATTATGTTTTTGAACATTTATAAACATGCTCATGGATATTTTTCACTATAGAGCCTGCGTGCTCATGTTTGCCCCGTGTGGCATTTGTTTTCAAACTATGTTTTCCACTGCGTATTGAATTGCTTATTATGTATGTTCATGGATGACTTATGTGTGAATGATATTTGAGACGCCTTGTATAATATGGATGCGTTAGCTAGCGGTTAACTATTCGTATTGTATGGCGGGTTGTTGACGTGTCCGGATAGGTCCGGGCATGACACTTTACCTAACCGGATCAAATAAGTTCATACAAGGCATGGACAGAGTATACTTAAACAAATCAATCTAGATACATACAGATCGACATGAGAATATTTAATTCAAAATAGACCAGATCAGGCCTAGATAATTCATTCGATATGAAAACATCATCAATACGCTTTATTTGATAGTTTAAATATGTCAGGGAAGAGTTGTTTATATACATAAGCAATGATTTAAAAGTATGGATTGTCCCTTTAATAGTATATATATTTTAAAATAAAATCCTATGAAATAATTTCATTTCATGCTGCAAATCGTACTATTCATGACTTAGATGTATTAGTTGGTGATCAAGCATTAATATGGTGACATAAATAACTATTCTAAGATCGATTGCTAAACTCAAAGTCAAATCAAACTTATCTTTAAGGAGACGATTTTTTATCATATGAAATCTTTTTCTAATATGCAATATAATTCTCAATGCACAAAAATATGAAAAATTATATTCTTGACCAATAATTCGCGTGGGCATATACCAGCCAATATATATAGTCACATTCTCCTAAAGAAGTACATCATATTCTATAAAAAGTACATACATGTAGAGTCACTTAGGATGCAATTAACAACATATTCTCAAATGCCTATGAAGGGACAATTGATTAAATTTACTTTACTTCCAATACATGATGTTCTTTCTGCCACATGAGTTGTAAGAGTAGATGAAGTTCTAGTTCAAGACGTGCGAGCTGTATGGCCCACCTAATCACATAACTGATAGATGACACATTAGGACTTGGGATTTCAAGCCACATGATACCTCACTAATGCTATATACAATGAAATGTGGAAGATAAATTGCCATGATGAAGGGTTCTCCCACAACTGCAACGACACCAATAATTATTTTGGCTGTTCCACAAGTGTGTGTAGCTATCTATGATGAAAGAAACTAGAGAATAATCGGCTAAATAATTTAGTGGGTGTGTTTGAAATGATCATGGATATCTGCAAACGATAGGGGGGTGGGTTGCAAAAAAAAGTTCAAGTGGTTTACTTATATTTATTGTCAAGTCTAGTGAGTATATATCCCATTTTTATTCATCAAGAAGAGGGTAACCAATTGTGGCAAGATCTTTCAAAAAAACCTCATATGACAGTGAAGTATTCCATGTCTTTTTATCTAGTTTTAGTCGTGGTGAGACTGTTGAGAAGAGAAAGCGTCCGAGTAGTGGAATTTTTGTATAGCTACAACCAAGTATCTTTCGTGCATTGAGAGGTATTGTGATAGTGTTGATGATGGGGCTGAGGACCTGAGGTAAACCTAACAACGTGGGTTTTCCTATCTCAGAATGTAAATGATCTAGATGAGGAGAGTCTAATTGTAGACAAGTGTCGTTGACATAGTTGAAAAAGTCATGCCAAAAAAGAAAGTTTATAATTTGAGTCTTGAGTAATTTTTTTCTTATGGAAGCATGAAGGGTATTTGGGAGGGAGCATCAAGTGATTTGTGTGGGTGCTTGAAGAGTTTAGAGAAAATGATGTTGAAGATCAGAGTTTGAAGTTGTCACTAACAGATTTTCAATTGATTAAGGATGGTAAAACAAAGAAGAAGATTAACATAGGACAAAAAAATATAAACTTTAGTTTCACAAGTGCTCTGGTATAACTCTACATAAAATAGTACTCCCTCCGTCTTAATTTAATTTGCAAAATTTTCTATTGTGGTTGTCCCAAAATGATTTTCCACTTTCTATATATTTTAGGTATTTTTATGGGTATAAAGTGACAAACTTACCCTTGTCTTTACTTTTTTCAATTAATTTTAAGGCATCTACTTTATGGAAGATGAAAAAAATAGTAAAAGGTAAGCTTCATTTATTTAACATTTTAATTCTTGTGTCACTCAAACTTTGTAAAACAAATTGGGATTAAGTTAGTATAATGTGTGACTCACTCCGTCGAAGAATATTGATATATGGCACTTCATGTATGCTAATGTTGTCTTTCTCGAGGGTAATCACAATAATTAGGTGAAGCTCATAAAACATATTAACATTGCTCGATCCTCCAACAAAACTGAATAAAATCCACTGCCCTCACAACTCTTCCAGTTATATCACCCCTCTGTGAAGTCCATATTTTCTTTGTCAGCAGAAATTACATTGAAATGTACTTGATAAAGTATTAATTCTTAGGGAGAAGTGAGAGCTAGAGAGAGTGTGTGAGTAATTAATATTTTTCAACCCCCTACAACTACTCCTAAGGGGAGTATTTATAGGGAAAATGTGGGTTTGGGCTCCCAGGTCTTGGGCCTGGGAGGCCCAGTACAAAATAAGGCCTCTAATGGGCTGAGTACATGATTTATTTGACTAAATATAAGATCTAGTCTACTGGAGCCTTTTTGGCCAACGGAGGACCACTCTTTTGCTCCTAGGCTGTATTATGAGACCCATTGAGTTTGGTCGATGGAGGGCCATCTGGCCGATGAGGGACCACGTAGGTGCCAACTGTCTGTGCATTGAGTCTTCTGAGTATGTGGGCCATGGGGTCTGGACCCATATACTCAATCAGTATTAAAGAAATGAAAACATGAGTTATTATCCACACATCAAGCGTCTTGGGATCGGCCGTTTAACAACCCAAACCAACTCAGTCAAACCAAGCCCATATAATAACGTAGTCAAACCCATCCGATTTTATCTTCTGCAGAATGCCTCATCATATTCCCTCTTGTTTTTATTTCATCTTACTTCTACCGTGTTGTTCTTTAAACCTACACATCTTTTCACTTGTTTGAATCTAGCGATCTCTCTCCCTTTCAATTTTTTTCGTTTTTATCTTGATCATATCTTCAAACTTGTTAGACGCCTTTTGCTGCCCTTCAAAAATATGAACTCATTGTCTACAGTACTAACAAATTTCATTATAAGATAACTTTTGGGTGAGTGGCAATATATGTATGATCACCAGATAGGTACCTATTACCTTATGCTTCCAAATAGGTACCTATTCGGAGAAGTATTCGTTGCCCATCTGAGTTGTGGTAGAGTGATTTGTTGTAGTAAAATCCATGTTATTCTATATATGTACTTATATTATTGGTGACAACGGTAGCTCCACATATGTTTGTGTTAACCATGTGTTTCACTCCTACATAAAAGAAGAAGTCATAAAGAAAATGATGTTGAGGAGCAAACATGTGTAACTAGCAGGTTTTCAATTAATTCAGGATGGTAAAATAAAGAAGAATATTAATATAGAATAAAAAAATTGGCACTTCAGTTTCACAATTGCTCTGATACAATTCTACATAAAAATATTATAACGTGTTTCACACTTTGTTGGAGTATATTCATAAAACATACTAACATTGCTCGACCTTTCACAAAAATTGAATATGAATTACTAATGTTGTAACTCATCTAATTGCATCATCTCCTGTTGAGGTTCATATTTTTTGTCATTACAAATTACAATAAGTTATAGTAAATAAATGAAAACATGTGTTGTTATTCCTTTCTTTTGATTTATTCTTCTAATCTACACTTTTTTTTTCGTTGGATCTCGCGATCTTTCTCCCTTCCACTTTTCTATTTCTACCTCGATCATATTTTCAAGCTCGTTAGACCCATTTTGCGGACCTTCAAAATAGATGAACGCATCATCTTTCATCTTCAACGTTCAGCCATCATTTTTATCTCAAATAATTATGGTGTCTTATTTTAAATGTTATCTTATAATGTACAAATTAGGTTAACAACTACAAGGATAGTAGTTGTGAATTTTGTACGATTCATTTGATTTATATGAAGTACATTTTAAGGATTATTATAGAGCATGATCATTATTTTAATCACAATAATAATATTCAGAAAAGAAAAAATTCACATGAACAATTTATCGTTTCACGCTCTTTCAATGCTAATCTCAAATACGAGTAATTTTAGTACTTCGCATAACCTAAAATCTACATGTGATAATTCCAAATTTACTCAAGCTATCAAATTTTGTTTCCTTGCATCGCATGGGTGAGAATCTAATGTATGGTAAAACAAAGAAAAAAATACATATACGAAAAAATTGACATTTCATTGCTCTGATACAATGCTACATAAAAATTGTATGATATGTTTCGCACTCCGCTGAAGAAAATTTGTTTTTCTCATGTGTAATCACATTCGCCAAATCTCATAAAACATACTAACATTGCTCGATCCTCCATCAAAGTTGAATAAGGATCGACTATCCCCGTATTTTATCCAGTTGTATCACCCCTTGGTAAAGTCCATATTTTTTATCATCAGAAATTATAATGAATTACACTAAGCAAATGTTGACATGTTTTGTTATCTTATATATCTAATATATACCAGGGGCGGAGCCAGGATCCGAGGGTAGGGGGGCAAAATGCTAATATATGCTTCTCTCTAAATTTGTTATCATCCCAATTTTTCTTTATACTTTTTTATATTAGAAACTTGTTTAAGTCAAATATCTCCAATACTACTCCATAATACTCTTATATTACTGCGTATGGAGTATTATTTATGATGGAATAACTACTTCATTCCTTGCATCATGCTTTCTGATGGTTGTCGAAAACAAAGCTGAATGTACAAATTGAATACAAAGATGACATCCGGAAAGATATCACTCACATACTCTTGCATCCATCAAATAGGGAGCTAGTGAAAAATGCATCATAAAAGCGAAAATGACAAGATGTGGGAAATCATCTCCAAATCTGGCATGGTTGTTTCGATTATTGAGAATATTGCCAAACTTGCTGGTTTGGCTGTTTCTGTACACAGTTATGGATCTCTCATGACATTCAACAAACTGCTGTCTAAATTTCTTCTCAAGCCGGAGAAGGCGCTGAAGTTGCAGGCATCAAAAGTCACACTTGAGCAAAAGAGTAATCACCTGCCGTCCTCGCTCAAGGACTTGCATGATAATGTGCGAAAGATTGCAGGATTGAACGCTCAGAAGACACCGAACGGTGGAAAGAGTGGCGGTGGATAGAAAGGCGGTGGGCAGAACGGTGGTGGACAGAACGGCGGTGGGCAGAACAGCGGTGGAAAGAATGATGATAATGGGGATGACTAGAAACTTATAAGTAGACGATATTTGCCGCAATCGATCAATCGAAATGTCGGTGTGGCTCCTGTTATCTGCCGGCTGCCGCTAGGGTTCCTTCACTTTTCTCTCATGGCTATATATTGGTTCTAACTTCTTTGCTTGTTTAGTATCTAGAGAGATTAACATTTAATGCATTACTATTTAATAACTTGGGCTCATGATCATGCATTGACATTTGCCAAAAGGCACCTAAAAAATTGTTCCATCATTATTGTTGATGTACGCTTGGCTATTGATGTATTATTTGTTCAATTAATATGTTTCAAGCATCGCATTACACCTTCAAAAAAAGGATTTTTATCAATTCGGGACCTAAAAGATAAACGAATTATCAATTCGGGACTTGAAAGATGAAATGTATCAGTATAGGACCCGAATGATGAAAAACTATCAATCAAGGACCCGAATGATTGAAAACTATCAATTTAGGACCTAAGTTTTCATAAATTTTATTATTATTTTTATTTTAAAAAATTTAAATAATATTTAGTTTTATTAAACTAAGAAACTTTTGTGAAGAAAATTTCATCAAATACTAGAAATGGAATTAATAAAAAAAAATCAAAATCTATGAAATGTTAGGTCCTAGATTGATAGTTTTTCATCTTTCGAGTCCTATACTGATACATTTCATCTTTCAGATCCTAGATTGATAATTCGTTTATCTTTCAGGTCCCAGATTGATAAAATTCCGTTGTTATAGATATAATGTTTTAATGTCGTATCCAAAAATTTAAGTGTACTACAAAGTATGAACATATTTTACACTATTATACTATTAGAGGAAATACAAGATTAAGGGGGCCAAAAAATTACAAGACAATAATTTAAAAAATGTTAGGAGGGGCCAAGGCCCCCATAAGCATATACATAGCTCCGTGTATGCTACCATGTTGAATCTATCATATTCGAAGAAGTATCCCTAGTCAAAATGAGCTCTAGAAGGGTGATTTGTGAGAAATTTACCAGGGGTCACCCATCCCAAGACTTCTCATGTGTAAGCACGTTTAACTTGGAGTTCTAAGCCGATGAGCTCCTTTAAAAGGGGATTCACCTTGTTGGTATGAATAATATTATTAATCCTTTTAAATCAATCTCAATTATTACAATCACTCTCACTTAGGAACGCAACGTCCTTGTTGCGTCCATAACCAAATCTCAATCAAACCCCAGAATCCTCCCTTGTGAAGCCCTGCCGACTACCACCAAACGAAAGCTAGCTAGAAAAGATCACACTTCACTGGAAGAGAAGCCGATCATCGATCTATACTTATATCTATGTCTATGTTTACGTCTACATCTACGTCTACATCTACGCCTACGCGCCTACACCTACGCCTACACCTACGTCTACGCCTACGCCTACGTTTACATATATATATATATATATATAGGGATTGGTTCCCGTAAGAACGTACTCTCAGGAGAGAAATGAGAACAAATCTGGACCGTTGGATTGTATTATGTAGAACTGAATTGTGCATTTGGTGAAACTAAAATGTGCATTAGACGATATTGAAATGTGTAGAATAAAAATTTGAACTCAAGTGTGCATTACATGAAACGGAAATGTTCGGAATAAAAGGTACAAAAATAACATCATGTCGTACGTTTTATTCTGCACATTTCAGTTTCAACTAGTGCACATTTCAATTTAACCTAATGCACAATTCCGCTTCACATAATGCCACTGAGTCGTACCGTTTGTGCTGCACATTTCAATTTCACCTAATGCACATTCGGTTTCATCTAATGCACATTGAATTTCACTTAAAGTAAATCTAACAGTGCAGATTCATTCTCATTTCTCTTCTGAGATCATGTTCTTATTTGAACCAAAACACACACACACACACACACACACACACACATATATATATATATATATATATATAGGGAGCGGTTCCGGTAAGAACGGATCTTAGGAGAAAAATGAGAACGAATCTAGACTGTTGGATTGAATTATGTGGATCAAATGAGAATATCATCTTAGGAGAGAAATGAAAATGATTCTGGAGCATTGGATTTGAGCACTGTGCATCATGTAAAAAAGAAACGTGCATATAAAAATCGGAAAATGTGCATTTCGTCTGTGCAAAGTTTTAAACGTAAATGTGCACATTAGAATTTTGCATTGCTTTAACTATAAATATGCAGTTTTGTGAAGGATAAAGTGCATCGTTTTGGAGTGTTCTCATTTCTCACGTTAAGGAGTGTTCTCACCGGAACCGCACCCTATATATATATATATATATATATATATATATATATATATATATATATATATATATATATATATATATATATATATATATATATATATATAGGTTTTGGTTCAAATAAGAACATGATCTTATGAGCAAAATGAGAATGGATCTGGACCGTTAGATTTGCTTTATGTGAAATTCAATGTGCATTAGATGAAGTTGTCATGTGTAATAAGTGAAATTGAAATGTGAAACACAAAGAGTACGATGTTGTGGCATTATGTGAAGCTAAATTAAATTGTGCATTAGGTGAATTTGAAATGTGCATTAGATGAAACTAAAATGTGCACAACAAAAGGTACGATGTGATGTTATTTTTGTACGCCTTATTCTGCACATTTCAGTTTCACCTAATGCACATGTCAGTTTAAATTTTTATTCTGCACATTTAAATATCGTCTATTGCACATTGCGGTTTCAGCAAATGCACAATTTAGTTCCACATAATTCAATCCAACGGTCCAGATTCGTTCTCATTTTTCTTACCGGAACCACTCCCATATATATATATATATATATATATATATATATATATATATATATATATATATATATATATTGAGTTCAAACTGTTGCATATTATTGAGTTCAAACTGTTGCATATTATTGAGTTCAAACTGTTGCATATATATATATATATATATATATATATATATATATATATATATATATATATATATATATATATGGGTGAGATCACATACAAACTACGCTTAACTTACTAACCTACAAACTCAATAATATGCAACAGTTTGAACTTCAATATGCAATACAAATAATGTAAATATGAAACTGCTATTTTATGGGCTTGAATAATATGAAACACTTTGAACTTCAATGTTCAATACAAATAGTGTAAAGATGATTTGAATGGGAGGACTAGTTTGTATGTGATCTCACCCCTGCATCTTTACATTATTTTTACTGCATATTATTGAGTTTGCAAGTTAGTATTTTAAGCAAGGTTTGTATTTGATCTCTTATATATATATATATATATATATATATGTGTGTGTGTGTATGTGTGTGTGTGTGTGTGTGTGTGTGTGGAAGAGTTCAAATAAAAAGAGGTGCTCCCGTTCAAAGTGCGAACGATCGCACTTTTTCTTCTCCGCGTTGCACTATTTCATGTTTTTGTTGCACTTTTTCGCGGTGACAGAAAACTTCGGTTTATTTACAAAATTGCCAACGCGTTTTTGATCAAACTTAGTGCATTTTTTGTTCATTTTGAGCCATTAAATCTAAAAATGAATGCAAAAGATTAATTCTCACTTTGCATTTTTGGTGAGCATGTTTTCCATGAAGTGTAGATTATGCCACCAAATTTAAAATTAAAATTCAATCGTGAAGTTAGTTAAATAAATTTTTGAAAATTGCACAGTCTTTAGGCCTAAAACAAGTAGTTTTTTTCAACAATTTATTTAACTAACTTCCCGATATGAATTTTTTCCTGAAATTTGATACATTTGAGTAATTAAACATAACTATGAAATAATCTACCTTGTTGACCGTAATATAGCAATATTCACAAAAGATATTTTTATAAAAAAAATGCTACTATTAATATTACATATGCAACATCAAATTCAGCCTCACATTTGGGACTTTTGGAGGATACCAATCTAAAGGCAGCTAAAAAGTGAACCTGAATGTCAAAGCCTTCAATTCCTTCGTAGTGTAGCCGCACCAGAATATCATGGATCACTTGGAGCTCGTGTGCTAAAAGACTCGATTTGCTTGATGGTCCAGAAACTGCCAGAATGAAATGACCGCCACCCCCCTCAACACTGCACCATAAACTGCTCTTGAAGCTTGAATATTAACCTTAGGCCTGGGCAGTTTATGTTGGATAAAGCCAATATCTTGCAAGTAAGATCCCTGCGTAGCGTATTTGCTGCCTTGCAACATACTTATTAATGTTGTGAATTACAAAAGAATTAACAGACACATTTGAATCACCCCATATATGTATATGAACTAGTCCCTCCATCCCTTAAAACTTTGACAAATTTGACCGGCACGGGGATTAATAAAGTAAAAACTGTGTGGTTGAGGTTTGTGCAGAGGAAAGAGAATTAAGTGGAACCATAAATTCTTTACTTAAAAGGAAAAGTGGCAAAGTTAGTGGGACATCCAAAAAATTAAAAAATTGGCAAAGTTATAAGGGACGGAGGGAGTATAAGTTTTCCATAGAAACCACAAAATGATACCAGGAGGTATATGCTTTATCAAACCGTCTAAATGTGGTACCACTTCTCATGTGCATCAAATATTGATGGTTGTGTGATAAGTAAGTGTTCTTGTGTGTGTGGTAGCTAAAACGGTGGTTCAGGTGGTTTATTGTACACATATTGTACTTATTTTTTTAACTAAAAATTATATATGCAATATTGGTGTCATATGAAAGGTAATAAAAATTATTTAATTTGATATACTTCAATTTTTTATATATGCAATATTGGTGTCATAGTAATTTTTTATAAAATTGGATTATAATTTAAAAAATTAAATCAATTTTAAATTAAAAACATTTTATATTATTTGTTTCTTTATTTTAACCTACCTTTTCGGATAGTGGCATTAAAGGAAATTGCTTGGTTAATTACCATTTTGCCCTGTCTTATTTGCACGCACCTATTTTTTATTCTAAGAGATAGTTTACAATGTGTGAAAGTGCATGGTTTTGTGATGCACCAATTACGTAATAGCCGATCATTTAATAAGATGATTGGTTAGGATTTGTTCTCACGTTCTCACGTTAAGAATCGTTCTCACTCGTGTGTGTGTGTGTTAGTTTATAATTGTGACAAATAAATGTAGCAATTAGTTAACTATAAGTAAAATATATTGTAAAAAGTATATAACATGCTTAATAAATCAATGTATGTATATGTAATGTAAGTGATAAGATAATATAATTGTGACAAATAAATGTAGCAACTAGTTAAATCTTAGTATAAACTATAAAATATGTACTATATTTAATAAATTAATGTAGGTAATTAGATAAATAGTTAATATATTTAATATATAATATAATGTTCATAATATATAGTGGAGTACATAACTATACTACTATAAAATGAGTAGTATAATTATATTTAATACTCTAATATATATACTTAATATTATATATTTAAATATAAGTAGGTATAATATTATTTAAATCTAAGTAAATATAAATATATGTAAATATGATGTAGAGAGAACTAGAGAATAAGAGTAGAGAGCAAAGAGAATTAGAGAACGAAAGTAGGAGAGAATAGGTGTAGGAAATTTCTGAAAAATTGGTGGTAAATACGTAGTATAGATTTTTTTAACCACCACCCGACCCCCCAAACCCCACCCCCAACGGCATTATAGTCTTTGCAACAGCTATATTGACCTTCCCCCCCCCCCCCCCCCCCCCCCCCCCCCGAAAATTCAAAAAACCAAAAAAATCAATTTGATCGTTGGGAACGAGATTGGGCCCACCAAGTACCCGATTGGGTACCGATACTGAACTGGAACCAACCAAATGGTCCTGGTCCCATTCCCGGTCCAAGACAGCCAGCGGGTTCACCCGAGGTGAATCAACCCTAAGCACGACATGAAGTTGGCATCCAACATTATAGTTCACCTTCCTTTGATCCCTACTTCCTACAAAGGAAAATGCCTAAGAGTTGAGACTCTGAGGTACACTTAGGAGTGGACTCGGGCCGGGCCAACCGGCCCGGAACCGGACCGGCCCGCTACTGTGCGGGTCCGGACCGGCCCGCTACTGTGCGGGTCCGGACCGGCCCGGTGAACCGGTTGGTGCCCGGTTTGGGCCAGCCGGCCCGGTGTGGTAGGCGGTTCTGGCCCGGGCTTGCTAAATAGTGAACCGGCCCGGCCGGTTCGGGCCAATTTTTTTTTTTTTTTTTTTTGAATTTTTTTTAAGTTTTTGGGTTGGGCTGGGTATGATGGGCCATTTGAGGTGGTTTGGGGGTGAGGGGGGAGGGTTGGGGGTTCATTAGGAAAAGTCGGGGAAAAAAATTGCATGAACCGAGACCCAGCCCGCTCCGAACTGGACCGGACCCGGGGGTTACCCGGGCCGGTTCCGGGCCTCCTCTTTCATGAACCGAGGCCCGACCGGGCCCAAGCTCGAACCAGACCCGAACCGGAACCAGACTCGAACCACCCCTACGACATACACTAATTATGATGTTTATGATTGGACTACTTTATTATTCTAATCTAGTTTGATCTGTCTGACTTGAACTGGTCTACTTTATTATATACCCCCTCCACCCCCTATAATTGTCTCATTTTACCATTTTTGGATGTCCCTCTATTATTGTCTCATACCATATTTGGTAACATTTGTGTTGCTCTAATTCATTCTTACTTTATTTCCACTTTATAAACTCATTATCAACCACATAATTCTATTTTTCTTAATAATCACATCCTTAATGACTTGGCTATTGTCAAACTACATATCCAGTAACTATATAACAAGGAAATAGTACAAATAAGGTAAACAGTTAATGTAAACAGTTAACCATTACATTGCTAATTCAACAAGGAAATAGTACAAAGAATGTTGCCTTTCTTTTCTCGCACTGCTTTGCTTCCATCAACACGTATCATATTGCCAACATACTAGGACAATGCAGCTCTAGGAATCAAGGCACTTTATTGTTCACTACACAATCTAAATTAGCACATTGTAATGATAGTTTGACAATATTCATCGATTGCTGCAAGAAAATTATAGCCTTGCAATAATGTTTTGTGGAACAACTATTACGCATATCAAGAAGTGCTTTGGGTAGGATAACAGCTAACTTCTTCACACGAATATCATGGAAGTTACTCTCATTAGTCTAACTGGAAGCTGACAACGCTCAAAAGTCCTGCACAAACCATAGTGAAATGAAGGCACATATAAAATATCTCAGGACGTTTCAATTCACTCCGAACCTTCTAGTAATGTTTTTAGAGTATAATTTATTCTCAACACCTAAATACCACATTTAGCAACGAATTTCACAAAGAGTCTGCATAAAAGAAGTGCTATTAAGTATGCAAAACTCTATTCATTCCAATGGGCTTTTGACCAAGAGTATAAACCTGCGGTTGGTATAAAAAAGTACCAAAGAGGAAGTGGGAAGAGTAAACCCAACAATAAACAATGCATTTTTCACTCACATATGAAACTGTAGATGCTGGTATAGCAAAGCACATTTAGGGAGTTTGAGGAATAAATAATGAAATAGAATTATGTGAAATGATTTTTTTTTCAAAAAGCAATGAATCAAAAGATAGTGCAAACTTCACAGGCATACATAAAATTGTACTGCAGGATATAAACAAAAACTATTACGTGAAGATGACTACTGTTCGGCGTAAGCTTAACAAGGGGTTAATAAAGGAAGTCCATGCGGTATACGTTGTAGCCTTTTTGAAAGTAAAATATGTAAGAAAACAGCATTATGCAAGAAATTCTGAAACAAGCAGCCGTAGTACTATGATCCTTACTTGGATTAATTTAGGTTTGGCATGACTTTTAAGAAATTAAGGAGATTACCATTGTTGTAACCTTTTAAAAAAAGAAAAACAATACCGGTCCCAACAAAGGTAAAAGAATGAAAGACTGAAAGGATATCAGGGTAGATAAAAGGGATGTCTTGGGAACATAAAAAGGATGTGTATCTACAAAATGAGATTTACAAACACCATAAGACTTCAGAGATACTCCAACAAAGCATGCTTTGAGTGTATACTATCATAGAAGCATAAATAGAAGCATAAATCAAATGATACGCAATGCTTATAAATGCTTGCTATAGCAATCACAAACCAATGACAAAACAAAGCTGATGTTTGAGGAAGAAAATCTACAATAGGAGATCATGTTTCACACAAAGACTTTTTTAGTAGTCAAGAATCTAGAAAACTAGGCATATGTTATAAGGCTGTATGGTGAAGGTTGTTTGGCTGAAATGATCGACTCTTCTGAATTTTCTTTAAGGAAAAATATATTAAACTAATTACAACTACATACTTTTTCTACACAATCACTTATTTCTCCTTTTTCTACATGACTAAAACTAAACCCATACACAATAGTTTCTTTCTTCTCCTTCCTAATCTTACATTTCTATCGACATTTTTATTATCAGATTGAAGCCTCAGGTTAGTTTGATTGATTCTCCAATAATGCTATTCTCTGACGTTCTTGAACACATTTCATTAGGATTTACTTTTTTGGAGCATTACCAAAGAACGTTTATGACATTACGTTCTTTATTAGTCTTGAGTTAGAAATTTAGAATGCATGATCATTGGTTCATGTGGTCATGGTTTTTGCAGTGGTGTGTGGAGTATAATAGTAAATACTCCCTCCGGTTCTTATTAAAGTTCCCACTTTCCTTTTTGAGATGTCCCTTATTTAAGTTCACACTTCCATTTTAGGAAACAAAATAATGCAAAACAGTGCCAAACAGTGTCCAAACAGTGTCAAACAGTGTCAAACAGTGTCAAACAGTGTCAAACAGTAAAGTCAAATTCATTTTCTTAATACGTGTGAAGTCAAACTGGGAACTTTAATAAGAACCGGAGGGAGTATGATATATCATTTCTATTTTATGAGAGATACAACTTTTTATTTCAGTCACAGGTTTTAAGAATCCACTTGATTAATGCTAGGAAACAGGGTGTAATAAGAACCTACCATTCACATCAAAATCATTGCAATATAAACCTGTAATTTACTTACTAACCCATATCACTAAAACCCACAAAAAATACAGAGTACAATCCAACTACAATAAAGCATCCTTACTAAGGGGTGAAAATGCTTTAAAGAAACAAATAGGAACAAATTTTACCTGGTTGAGTTTTCTATGCAAGGGTAGGGATCATCCCCGTCTTCCTAGCGTAGGCAAAAATCCCACCAGCATCAATCACAGGGCCAGCATCCCCAATGGGTTTCAGCTTGTATTCCTTTCCACTAGTATGGTTGATCAACCTACTCTCACCGAGCTCAAGAGTTATCACATCTCCAGTCTTACACTCCTCGCATATCCTCACATCGCATTCCACAGGATATATTTCCCCTGTAGACACCGAGTTCCGAAAGAATATACGGGCATAAGACTCAGCAACCACAGCAGAAACCCCGGCAGCGCCGAGGGCAACAGGGGCATGTTCACGGGAGGACCCGCATCCAAAATTATCACCCCCAATAACAATTGAATACTTGGATTTGTATTCACCAGGATCTATGAATCGAGTTTGGTACGAAGCTGGGAGACCGCATAGGGCGTATGAGCCGAGCTTTTTGTATTCCTCCTGCTTGGAAGGGACTAGGGTCAGGTATTCAGCAGGAATGATTTGGTCAGTGTCGATGTTATCTCCAAGAACATAGCAGAGGCCGTGGAAGGTGGTAGATGTAGCGGAAGCAGTGGATGCATCAGAGGTGGAAGCGGATCGGAGAGGAGTGACGAGACCGTGAAACTGGGAAGGAGTGTAATGGGAAATTAGGGGCTGAGAGGGATAATTTCGGGTAGATGAAGCAACCTTCACAGAAGGGAAATGAGAAAGAATAGCGGCGGTGTTGGGTTTGATGGAGGATAGGTTGAGAGGGCAGGTGCGGAAGGAGGTTGTTGAAGCCGCCATTGAAACTTTGATCGAGCAGTCTAGCGCTCTCTGCAGGTGCAGATCTAGCTTTGACATAAATTAAGTCAAAATTTCATTAAATAAAGTGTATTGGCACAAAAACTCAAAATGTTACTCCCCCGGTCCCGCTAGAAGTTCCCGTGAACGGTTTACGACGCTTGACTGTCGATAAAGAAACTTAATCCCTGTTCACAATCTATTTATTTTTAGTAAATAAAATTAACATATTCAGAAACTATATTAAAACCGCTACAAAGCCTGGTAAAAAAATGTAAATTTGGCAAAAATTTAATTTATAAAGTAAAAGATTAAAAATGATTTAAGTTGACCATGAGAATAGTGGACGGGAACCTTCTAACGGGACGGAGGGGTATGTATTTATATGCTCCGTATAAGAAAGGAGTAGACTATTAAAAATACAATTTTACCCCATTATTATGCAACGTGTCTAACTACCAATGTTTGAGAGCATTGCTCTACTTATGCCACGTTGCTTCATCTTTTGCATTTGTGTTTGCTTTACAAAAAAACCAATTACGGAGATAGAAAATATAAAAATATGGCTTAATAATATACTACCATTATTAAAGTATTATAAACCTTATTCCTTCCTATTGGGGGTGGGCACGGGCCGAGCGGGGGCAGGTTATGCAAAATAATATGGAACCGCTGATTCCCTTATACGGGTCGGTCCGGTCCGGGTATTGAAATTTTCAAAATAGGAACCCGACCTTACCTGGCCCGTTTGAAAAGGGTAGGTCCGATCTCAGTTTTTCGGTTCCTATTTCCATGTCTAAAAAATAGTAAAAATAAACAAATTATCTTTAACAGAAAGATTCATGTCAACCACTCAGTGTTCTTAAACACATTTTAAGATTCATGTCAACCACTCAGTGTTCTTAAACACATTTTAAGGAAAATTTACAAAAAGCGGGGGACCGATGTACCATAGCTGCTCAATGCCGATACTTTTACAGTGTTATTATCTCTAATGAAAGAGGCTCTAATAATCATAACTCAGAAAGTAATGCATACCTAAATCGGCAGCAAACAGTAATAATTGTACTCCCTCCTTCCCGCAAAATAGTTCCCGGTTTTCTTTTTGGGCCGTCCCAAAAAAATAGTTCACATTTCCCTTTTTGGAAAGTTTTGTGTGGCTTATATTCATTTACTTTTTTCTTACTCAATCACAACCATACATTTCCACTTTATTACCACTTTCTTAAACTTCAATTCAAGTCAATGCGAGAACTATTTTATGGGATAGAGAGAGTATCAAAGTGTGTATATGCAGTCTATATCTTAAATTCCAAAATTAGTATACAAAAAATCCAGATAAGGGTATGAAATGTTGAATACTTCAATGTAAGACAGAAATTCGAGTTCACTTTAATGTCTTAACTACCTAGTACTCAACATTGTATCATGTTTCTATCAATCACCCAGGAAAATCAGTAATATAAACTATAAAGTCATTCTCTAAAGTAAAGATGGGTCGCTAAAACCTGATTCCCTAACGTTTCTACTTTCTATATGGATAGTACTTAGATACAATAAGAATATAAGAAGTATGCTTCAACAGTTTTGAGCTTTTTTTTTAAACCAGGAAGGCAAACCACCAAAATCAGTGGGGTAAATGCCGGAGAACATTTAACGTGTTTTATTAAAAATAGAGAGATACAAAAAAGAAAGGGGGACTAGGCCAATACCTTTCCGGGGAAGACATCCTTCCCAAAATAACACGAGAGACAAAATAAACTCAAAAACTGATGGGGGGGCTAACCTGACCCATCAGAAGAAATAAAAACTAAACAAGCCATCTAATATAAGGAATATTGAACAAGTCAAAATTAAATTCAATTCGGACTGGGCTAGGCAACAAATTAACAGAAGTCCAAGACATGAAATGGGCGGGATGTAAAGCTGCTAGATAATGGACTGGTCTATTACCTTCCCTGAAAATATGTCTGAACCTGACCCCTTTCCTGAATCAAAGCTGCCTGAACGAAATAATATCCTCAGACCTAGCGACGTTGAATCCATCTGAAAGGAAGCTAAGAGCAGCTTCAGCATCGATCTCAACCTGAAAATCCCGATGGCCTTCACTAATTACCCATCGCGTAGCCGTCATCGCAGCAATTAGCTCCGCATCAAAAGACGAAGAATCAGAAATCGGAAAAGCAATGGCGCATACCAACTCTCCCCTTTGATTCCTCAAAATCGCTCCACCTGAGGCCGAATCTGGTATGTAAGCTGCATCAATATTCAACTTCAATCCTCTGTTAGGTTTCAACCAACTAATGGGTTTTAAGAGTCTCTGTTTAAGCTTAAAACCAAGGGGAATTAGTCGTTCTTCGTATAAAATGGTATCAATCTTGCCCAATTTCTGATTCGAAAGACTTAAAACCCAGTTCTGAGACAGTTTTGAGCATAAACAAGTAAAACAACAGTTTTTTAAACCCAAACATAAAATCAATATAATATGCAACCCACGATTCTAACAACCTTACAGAAGTCAGGAGTACTTCGGAGACGATAGACGGTGGCGGTGGGCAGCGATTTTTTGTTCGATGCTTTCCCGCTGGCCGGAGAGTATAGTTCGACCATTCAACGATTCAACCTCCAGGTAATCGAACTACGTGTAATCGAACTCCTACACAAACCAGAGACGGAGATGGTAGATGCTAGATACAGTGAGTGAGTCTGAGAACCTGATATGGTTTTGGCCTTAGGGGATTACGGGACACGGGTAATGGGCAGAAAACTGAGGAGCTTAAAGGCTAATGGAGCTAATGGACTCAGCTGCCAGAGAGGCCCAATGGCAAAAACATTTAGAAATTACACATATAACGGGCCTGGCCGGATACCCGACAATTTTATATTTTGGAACCGGTCTGGACCTAAAAAATTGATGTCTGGCCCTCCCGGACCGTTTTCTAGCAAAAAGAATTTGGAACCAGCTTGTTCTTCACCTGAACCGCCATTTCCCTGACCGGACTGCGGTTCCAAGACCCGTTTGCCTACTTCTACTTCTTATCATAATGTCACTCAGAGATTCAAAAATTAGCAAATGAAAATGAATCAATAAATAATAACCACATCAAGTGCTAAACTGCTATTCCCTCCGTCCCGAATTGAATTGCAAACTTTGACCGACACAAGGATTAAGGAATGACAATAAATGATGTTTGCTTTTTACACTTTTGCCCATTTTTCAAAAAGCAGATGCCTTTAAGTTAATGGAAAAAAAGTAAAAGTAAGGGTAAATTTGTCACTTTATCTTTATTTATATTCCTAAAATAGAAAGTGGAAAACCATCTTGGGACAACCAAAATAGAGAATTTTGCAAATCAAATTGGGACGGAGGGAGTAATTAATAAAACTGCTAAATTGTATTCAATTTAATATTCTTTCCTTTTCAGAAAAAGGGACAAATATGAAAATATTGGTTTAACATTTTTGTATGTTTTATGCTTATCTGTTTATGTTTAGCTTGTTTGAAGTAACTTTCTAGCCTGAATTGGCTGAAATTATTGTAGATGATCATTTTTAACTGAAGAGAAGAGAAGACAGGAGAAGGGAAGGGAAGAGAAGGGAAGGTAAAAGAGAAGAAAAATGAGATGGAAAAAATTAACCGGCTTCATCGAACAAATTAGAAGGTATGTGCGGTCGCCGGAGATTGGAAAAGACTGGCGGCGGTGACTATTGCTATGGTATCCACGACCAACGGCTTCTAGAAGATCACAAATCGCGCGAAGGTTTCTGCGCAATTTCTCCATTGCAAATGACCTCTGCCTTTGTGCATATGGGTGTTGGAGTCAGTGTTCCAGGTTTTAAGTAAATGCAGTTTAATTAAATCAAGGGTAAAATGTAATCGGTAGTCCTACAACAACAACAACATCCAAACCTTATTCATAAGATTTTGAAATTCGTGGCTTGGGGGAATCGAACCCGTGATCTAGGTTATCTCTATCATGAGATCATTTTTTGGTATGATGTCTGTCCCAAATCAAGATAAAGGAAAGAGGTGATGTGGTAGGCGCGTGACAGTCAACAATATCATTTAGTCACACCATATGACATGAATCGTAATTAATAGTCTTATTTAGGAAAAAATAAATTATAGTTGTAATTTAGGAATTTTAACCATGTTTAGGTCTAGGACAATTTCTTTTTCCTTTATAGATCCGTGTATATTTTACTAGGGTAATTTTGATTTAAATTGAAGTTAACTCAAGGTAGTCAAAGTCGAAAGGCGCACTTGAAGCGCTAGGGGCCTTCCAGTGCCTGAGGCGCAAATAAAGCGCTCGCCTGAATCGGGTGAAGCGCATTACTCAGATATAATGACATATACTATTCTATAAATACCAAATATGATGTATGTAACATCATATTGAACCAAATGCATATAAAATCTAGGATTCACCAAAATAAAGTCATGATTTACAAAAAATAAAACATCAAATTCAGAATTTATGGCTTTAATACTAAAACTTTAAGTAAAAGACAATCAAATTCGAGCATATTTCCCCTTGTTAAACTTGTGAGCCTACATAGTACTATTACTTTATTAATAACATAGCAATATACTAGTGTTGTGGGTAACATAGAGTAATACAGAGTATTATAACTATTATATACAAAGCAATATACTAATGCTATGAGTAATATAGAGCAATACCGAGTACTATTACTTTATTATATACATAACAATATGCTAGTGTTGTGAGTAATATAGAGTAATGCAGAGTATTAATACATTATTATGAGTAATATAGAGTATTGTATACATAGTAATATACTAGTACTTTATTATATACATAGAAATATACTATAAGAGTATTTGGATGAAGAAGACTGCATGAACAAGAGCACATATCTTGTTTAATGGTATGAGGGAGAACTGAGTTTGCTTAAGATGATGAAGAAAACTGAAAAAACTGACTGGTGTAGAGAAACGGGAGTGAGAAGAGTGAGTAGGCTGAAGAGCCGATGATGGCTAGCGATATAACTTAGTGTTCTACGCAAGGTTTTACGTTTTCACGTAAAACCTATTATTTAGATGGGCCGAGTGTTATTAAAGATATGGCTTAATTATTTTTTAAAGTTTTAAACCAAAAAAAGGCATATCAACGTTTTCCGGATCAGGCGACCCGGAGGCGCTTCATGTGCTGATTCTGCGCATGACCAAGATACGTGCGCCTTCCCTTCTCCCAAGCGTTGAAAGCCCTGCTCGCTGCGTCTGGTGCGCTTAAGCGCTCAGGCGAGCGCTTTTGACTACCTTGAGTTAACTTCTCTTTATAACGTTCGACATGATCTGAGGTCGACATGCGACTGTTCGGGCTTTATACTCGTACGTGTAGCACAGAGTCGGTCCTGAGAATTGGGTTATCTACTCGGCGAGTTTCTCAACTCGGTGAAGTTTTCAACTCGGCGAGTACTCGATCTAACTCGGTGCCCCTTTAAAATTGGAAAACTAAGTTACAAAACCTAGATTAAACGGAGTTCCTACATCTACTATCCCCCAAAGTTGTGACTATGATCTTTCAATAAGTTCCCATCCTCTTTCTTGTATCTTCCCCTCCCCTCTCTCGTTTCTTCTTCTTCCGCCCTCCCCATCCTTCTTCGCCAATTGTTCTGTTCTGCATTCTTAAAATATAACCATCTCGATTGTTTAATATTGATGCACACGTATTTGTTGATATAAATAAATTATTTTCACTGGTATGACAATATATATTATACTTCGTAATACGTAACTTTAAATTAATACCACTATATTGATTGTTTATTATGGCACATCATTGATCGATACACATTGATACACATCATCTAATTGACAGAATATGCTAATACAACACTTAAGAGAAAATCAGATGATTTAGGATGGACATGGGGAGAGAACAGAGATCCTAGAAAATTATTAGATGATTGAGTTTTCTAGAAGACTTAGAATGTTTATGACTTTTGCTACTCCATCATTAGGATTTCTATCATTTTATTCATTTCTATGCATTTTAAGACAAATTTAAGACTATTAGATTTCTATAATCTCAGGCACCTGTGCTATTAAATTTAATAATTACAAGACCGAGTAGTCACCGAGTAATCCCGAGTAATCGGTCCTCCTCACTACTCGGCCCTTGACCGAGTTACTACATAGTAGCGAGTTAACTACCTAGCCTGAGAATATGAAGGCCCAGTGCAAAATTAAAAAAATGGACCTTTTTTCTAACACAAGTACAAATTTTATACAAGTAAAGATGATAATAGTGATAAATTACTAATAATTAATATCAAAATATAATATATTGATTAACAAAATAGTCAAAATAAGAGTACTAGTCTACAGAATGCACTTCATTTATAATCAAACATTCTTCGAGCGTATGTAAGGAGTATAAACTGTAAACCCTAAATTTATTAATGTATTATAGTGTAAACAATTGCAAAAGCAACAATGCAATAATATAATTATATCAATTTGTTAAAGAAAATTAACAACAGAATAACCAAATAATATGAATTTGATTACTCGGTAAACTCAATCACAAATTATCCAGACTTAATAATTAATCACATGGCCAGGCTGGCCTCAATCATATAAGTAGTATTTACAGATAACTAATTAGTTAATTAACAAATGATCCAAATTAAAAGAATATGAGATAAAACATTAATAAATTATCAGTTTATTACTCATTAGTTGATGAGAAGTGAAAAATTTACCTGGAGACTGGAGTAGTGGTCTAGTGGAGTCGCCGATTGGAGATTTGCAAGTGAAGAAATTCAACTGAAGAAGACAAGAACTCAAGACGTGAAGAACTGGAGGCTGTAGCGGAGTTCACGCACCGCCGTAGGATGCACCGCTGCTACGCCTTTTGCCCCTTCGGCCTTCGCACTTCGTCGATTCGCAGTTAGCCTCTACCCTTCGCAGCTTCAATTCACGCCTTCAGCCCTCCTTCACTCCCGTACTTTTGTTTTAATTTTGTTTTTGGGCTAACTAATACTCTCTCCCGTCTCTATTAAAGTTCCCGGTTTGACTTTACTATGTACTGCACTGTTTGGCACTATTTGGACACTGTTTGACACTATTTTGCACTATTTTGTTTCCTACAATGGAAGTGTGAACTTAAATAAGGAACATCCCAAAAAGAAAAGTGAGAACTTTAATACGGGTCGAAGGAGTATAGAGCAGTAGACTATAAAAAGTAATACTAATACTAATTTTTTTTAGGCTCTCAAACTTTTCGGGCCCTATGCGTTTCGGCTGCCCACACTCCCTTTGGGCCGGCCCTGGTGTAGCACACTTGCTTTATGACACAATTATTCAAACTTTTGATGGAAATGCTAGCCGTGCATCACCAAGCGATTAGGGGTGTGTTCAAGCACTTAATAAATTATTTAATACTATCCTTCCGTTTTACACTACATGTTGAATTTTACATTATTCAACACGTTGAATTTTACACTATTCATATGTTATACTTTGACTACAGTTTACGCTATTGTTTATCAAAATTACTTCTTTTTTTTAAATATTGTTCAATTCATCTCATTACAAATTTTCAAAATCTGATTTTTAATATTTTTTACTAATAGAATTAATATATAATTGCGGTCAAAGATGTGCCTTGGCAAATGTGAAATGTTGACCGTTGAAACTAAAAAAAGAACGGAGGAAGTATTAATCAGTAAAATTCAGTTATAAGTATGAAATATGTAGATTCATCATTTTTTCGTCAGTCCTTTGAGTCTTCTTTTACTCAAATTGTTTGGGTAATTAGTTATGTTGTTTTAAATCAAATATTAAGTTTATTTATAATTTGTATTACACTATTTAATGAATATTCAATTAATTTGAGTATAACTATTTAGATGAAGATATTTTTAATTCTCTATATTAAGGAATGTTTGGATCTGGTTCTTAAAACTGTTTCTGCTCCTTGAAAGAGCAGAAGCAGGAGCAGAAGCAGAAGTTGAAATGTTTGGATGAAAGTGTGAAAGTACTTCTCGTGCTCTAATTTATTAATGGAAGCAGTTTTTTAGAAGTTGGAAGAAACCAGCTTTTGAAGCAAATCAGTTCCAAACGCCCTTTAACGCCTGCCTCTCGGATTTCCATTGTTCCAATAAAGGTGGAATCTCCCACCCCAGGAGCCCCCCACCCCGACCCGACAGGATGGTGGAGAGGTTAGTCACGGTGACTCAGTCAACAGAATGGTAGTAGGCTCATACACCCGTGCACACCAGAGTCCCAGCCTTATTTCAGGTTCTGTGACCTCCACCTGATCGCTGCGGGGATTCGAACCTTGGTCCATTGTTCCAAATCTCCCACCACTCGACTAACTAAGCTACCCGTGCGGGTACCTTTCGGATTTCCAATTTTGATACTTAGACCTCCAAATTCACGGCTCTCATTTTCCTTTATGCGTTATGCCTTTCCATTTTTTTTCCATTCAGTAGAAGCCGTGTTATTCCTAACGTGTTCGTCCAGAGAAGTGGGCGGCGACCCTAGGCCCCTAGCTAGCTATTCAACTTGATCGTGGTAAAAATAACATTTTAAAAGACTGGCCTACACGATTAAAAGCTTTAACAGGACGCCACCGCGTATATATGCATGCATATATATACATGTTGATAGTTTCTTTCTTGCCGTTGAACCAAAAGATAAACTCCGTATAAATTAATTGATTAATTCGATTCTTTTGCTCTTAGTTATTTACTAATTAAATATTCATAATGGCTACTGCTGCCGGCGGCGGCGGCGGCTCAAGCTCCAAGAAGAGGCTGCAATGGCCGTCTCTTCTCCGATGGAACCGTACCTCCACCGACCAATTAATCACAGCTGAGAAGTCTCTACTTTCTCTTGCCAAGTAAGTATATATATTCCAACTTCTGATGAATAATCTACTTGAACGATCATACAATTTTATCATCTACAAGTTACAACTACATCAATAGAATCACAAATTATTCTTAATCGTCAGTATGAAAAAAAATAATTGGTTGGAAATTTATATGGAATACTTGTTTTAGTTCTATTTAGGAAATTTTTTGTAACAAATTTGTACGCACGTAAATGCCTGATTATGCATGCATGTGTGGATCTCAAACTACAAAAAAAACACGGATTTGACAGGGTTCCTTTTGGTAGCGATTTTTCCAAAATTGGCAAGGATTTTGAAAATGCCTAATCCGCGCTCAAAACAATTTGTCATGATCTATTTAGCATGAAATCATTGATAAATCCGTGTCAATCCCGTATTTTTTGTAGTGACATTTAATTTGGAGCGTCCTAATGGGCTTAAAATATACTCCGTATATAAATTATATTCAGGACTCCATATGCTCAAGAGCTAGTTTGGATAGGCAATACTTCTAAACGGACCAAAACTGGATGGTGTACACACACATCAAGAGCTGAACCAAATTTAATAAATACAGTCACTTTTGAGACCAGCAAGAAAAAAGGGTCTCCTGCTCCTACTCTAGTTATGCTTCATGGATATGGTGGTTCTCTAGCTCAATTCTCTCGGAATTTTGACACCCTTGCCCAACACTTCACAGTCATAGCCATTGATCAGCTCGGGTAATTAATCAAGTACATATGTATGTTTACATATATATATATATATATATATATATATATATATATATATATATATATATATATATATATATATATATATATACTCCCTCCGTCCCACAATGAACTTCACAGTTTTGACACTGTTTCGACACTGTATGGCACTGGTTTAATTTGCACTGTTTTCCACTGTTTGACACTATTTTGATGTAGATTAACTTGCCATTTAAGGAAATGAGAACTTGTTTCCGGGACATCCAAAAAAGGAGAGTGGGAAGTTCATTGCGGGACGGAGGGAATATATATATATAGCTAGGTTTGGTTCAAATAAGAACATGATCTTAGGAGAGAAATGAGAACGAATCTGGACCGTTAGATTTGCTTTAAGTGAAATCCGATGTGCATTAGATGAAATAGTAATGTGCATTAAGTGAATTGAAATGTGCAACACAAATTGTACAATACAGTGACATTATGTGAAGCTGAATTGTGCATTATGTGAAATTGAAATGTGCATCATGTGAAACTGGAATGTGCAGAATAAAAAGTGCGATGTGAGATTATTTTTTTACCTTTTATTTCACACATTTCAGTTTCATCTAATGCACATTTAAGTCTAAATTTTTATTCTACACATTTAAATATCATCTAATGCATATTTCAGTTTCACCGAATGCACAATTCAGTTTCACACAATCCAATCCAACGATCCATATCCGTTCTCATTTCTCTCCTAAGATCCGTTCTTACCGGAACCGCTCCCTATATATATATGTGTGTGTGTGTGTGTGTGTGTGTGTTTCTCATATATATATCTATATGCGGCATGCACAAATTTCTTTCGAATACTCCCTCTGTCTCGAAATGGGATGATGTTTTCAGTTTGACCTACATACATATTTATGTAAATAAAATTTTGTTTGGCTTTCCAAGTATAATCTTGCTTTATGTTTTCAGTCTCGAAATATAACTAATTAACTAAAAATAGATTTTTTTTGGACAGAAGTTAAAAGGCGAATATAATAAGAGGGTTTTAATTTCTAAAAATATTACTAAGAGGAGTAGGATTTAATTATGGTTAAAAATTGACTAAAGTTACTATGAATTGAATACATCCCTATGGTCAAGTTAATATAGTTAACGTGAATTTGAACATAACATATCATGGTCTTTAAAGTATAATGTGAAAAAGAACTTTTGTGATTACTCAAGTATAAAAACTCACATGTGTCCATTGACTTTAAATTGTTTAATTTTTTTTTGACTTTAAATTATTTAATTTATCCATACTTATTTCATATAAGTACATCTACTTCTAAAAAACAATCAAATGAGTCATAATGACCTATTTAACACCTCTTAATCCCGGTTTCAACATACTTCTGACCATCTTTTTAGAATACACTATACGACATATGTCGAATATTTAACTAGGATTGGTAGTCAAAAAAATTGACATGTAAGCTAAAATCGGGATTAGGAGGTTAAATAAGCCGGTATGACTCATTTGATTGATTTATACAAGTAGAAGTACTTATATAACACTTTATTGAGTACATGGTCTTAGATGACTATTTCGTAATAGTAGAAGACCTTATTTGACCCTTTTCTCTTAATTTAATGATCGGCCTGGTTGATTAATTTGTTCATTGTGCGTTCCCTATAATTTGTAGTACTGGGAATTGAAGCATGCATATATATATTTATATCCATGTTTTAACATTTCAATTAGTATGAAATTAGAAGGCTACGTACCATGCATAATTTCTGATCTAGCTAGCTACAACTTCAGGTTCGGTAGATCAACTAGACCCAACTTCACTTGCAAAACTACTGAAGGTTAGATTCGTTATCCTGGTGTGAGAACTTGACCACTTTACCTGCAATATACTCCCTCCGTCCTGTTGGAATGTTCTCGCTTTCCTTTTTTGGATGTCCCGTTGGAAAGTTCCCATTTCCCTAAATGGAAAGTTATCCTACATCAAAACATGGCCAAATAGTGCAAAATAGTGTCAAACAGTGTCGAAAAAGTGCTAAACAGTGTCGAAACAGTAACATTTACCTCCTGGTAAATTTATTTTCTTAATATGTGTGTAGGTCAAATCGGGAACATTCCAACGGGACGGAGGTAGTATTAATAAGATTATCTCAAATTAACGTTTACATATGCGGTCTAGTTTTCATCATATGCACTATGCGTACAGAAAGTGATGCATGGTTCATTGATTCTTTCGAGGCGTGGCGGAAAGCCAAAAAACTCACAAAGTTTATATTGCTCGGCCATTCATTAGGAGGTTATGTTGCTGCTAAGTATGCAGTCAAGGTGATTTTTGTTTTTTCAATAAAAATAACCAACTCTTAATCAAATAAATTCCACTTTTAGTCCTTCACTTCACGTCTTTGACTTCGACCACTTTTTGTATATGACTATTGTGCTTTCGTCCATGCATATATGGTCCTTTCGGCGATAATTCAGAGGTCTAAAATCGCCGGAGAAGGACAACCAATGGTCAAGAAACACTAGTGAAGTACCAAAAGTGGACAATCAACTATAACGCCCCCACCCCCCACATATATTCAATCAATGTTGTAATACTAATATAGTGTATGTAGTATCCTGAGTATGTTGAACACTTGATACTGGTTGGAGTTGTTGGAATGACATCGTACCATGAAAGAAAACACGAGTTAAAGTCTTCACATAAACCATTCAGACAAAAATGTGAAGGAAGTGTTGAGAAATATGTATGTGAATACAATATCACCCCTCAGAAATTTGTCAGGTATATATATGCATGCATTTTGTTTCTTGAAAGAAATTAAAAGGAATCCTAAGTACTAGACAACTCAATTAAATATAAGTTTTATGATGTTTAAAGTGCACAAATTAGAGAATCTAAAAATTATATTCCTTTTGGAATCTTGAATAATACATAATATCTATAAAATTAAACTTATAATAATTAACTAATACGGAGTATTACATTCTAAATTTTTGGAGGCTTCCTACATGAGCGGGGCCTGGTGCCAAGCACCTATTGCACCTCCTAAAAGACGGTCCAGGTATATATATATACATCAAGGAAGAATCATATCTTTAAGATTTACAAGCAAAGAATGCATAATGTAAGATCAGTTTAGGTAATCATATTTTATGGAATTACCAATATTACATATGCAGACAAAAACACAAACAAGACAAAAGAAACAAATTTGACTAGCTAGATTATCACAATATAATTTTATTATGTACATGTTTATATTTATTCTAATTATTGTATTAATTGGAGCAGATGGTTAGGTCCATTTGGCACACATGCAGTTAATTGGCGGATAGGTTCTGTTATGCGTGGTGGAGTAGGTTTAACCGAGGAGGAGGCCCAAAATTTTACAAGTATATACTCAGCACTATATATTGCCTCAATGAATTGAACCTCCTATAATTTGATTGGTTTTTATAATAGAGAAAAAAAAACTACTCCGTATATACATATATAGTATTTTTTCTTTTTTTTTACCCGGGGACGGAGGGGATGGGGGACCTAAGGAAATTTGGGCTCAAACTCCATCCATGGAGTATTGAACTCGGGACCTCCCGGCCATGAGGGAGAGTGAGTCGGGGACGAGTTGAACTGTACCGCTTCCTCACAGAGAAAAAGCCTATTTATGTCTTAGTCCTGGTTGAATTGTATATAAGAAATTATCTTAAATAGGAGTAAATTAAAAATAATATGATTATGTAATTAAAATAGAGGTGGTATATTTTCCCTAATTATTGTTATGCTTCATAAAAATGCAAATTATCACACATATGTTTGGGATTGCCAAATTATGGTAGTATGATTCCAAGATGTTATTAATTTATTCATATTTGAAGAAACCATTTTTCTTAATCTAATGAAAGGAAATATTTTTTTTCTTTTTGAAAATGTATCCCATTATATTTTTGCTTGATAATAACATCTCTTATACCACTTTTTTTACTAAAGAATTGTTGGAAGATCTTGTATACCACATTTCGGCTGCCAAAGCAAGTGGGGAGCTTTGCTTGAAATATACTTTGTCTCATGGAGGGGCATTTGCTCTGAGTCCTCTTTTGAATCGGTCAGATTGCAGTCTTTTATTTGATCCTTCCTTACTTTGTACTCAATGCTAAGAAGTAAGAACTAGGGGAGCCGCTTCTAAACTCTAAACGCTCCAAAAAGTTCCGCTAATGAGCAGTTTATTTTATTATTACTCTGAAAATAATCCTACAAATTAAGTGTTTTTAAAAAGGACCAGATTCTCGGGTACCTTATAAAACATTAAAGTCTACTTTAAAAGATAAAATATCACTCAAAAAGTGTTTTTCCAAACATCATTTATAATGTTTTCAATTGAAATGATTTCAGCCTAGACAAGACTGAGTTAGACTTGAACAAATTAATTCACCCCAAATTTAAACAAATCATATTAAACAGATCAGACTAAAACAATAGTTAAAGTAGACATAAACATGGCGTTTACTAGATCACATATCGGACCATACCAAGTTAGGAAATTTCAGTCAAAGTAAAAAAACATCCTTATTTTATTTTATTATTCATTGTTCATAACTTTTCGGCACTAGGTGTGGTAGAAAAAAATTACTGGGAATTTGATACTTGTTTTTTAGCTTAATAGTCTCATTAACTAGATTTTTTTGGTAAATATTACTCCGTAATTCCTAACACACTAAAAATGGCTTAAATGGTTTTTCTAATTTGTTGGGGGTTATATTTAGAATATAATGAAGTTATTGAAGAAACATTTTTAAATTTCTACTTTATTAATAAAATATATTGTTATTTTTTATAATTCCTCGGATAATTTATCTAATTAAGCTATTTGAACTATAATGTGAGTAATTCCACCAAATTAAGCATAATTTAGTCCTAATAAATAAGATCTTAATCCAAAAAGATTGTATATTAATATAATGTGAAGGATTAATAAAAGTATATAATTAAACTTTATTTATAAATACATACATACATACACACACACACATATATATATATATACATATATATATATATATATATATATATATATATATATATATATATATATATATATATATATATATATATATATATATATGATTCTAAGAGAATTAAGGTAATTAACCTCTATCATATTAGACCTAGTAACTCAAAACATAAATTTACATACTTTGTAAAATGGAGCATAAAGTTAGAATGTGTACCTCTTTATTTGATATGATTGAATTTCCTTTTCAATTGAATATTAACTTATTAATATGTACACTAATATATGTGCAGTATAACGGAATGGAAGGTGAAAACCACATTTATATATGGTCATTATGATACACTTGGGACTTGCAAAGAAGCAGTTGACGCACGCAAGAAAATGGATGGCAGTTTTCCATGTCAAATCATTAAAATTTCTGAGGTCACACCATGCTTAATAATAACAATAATAATAATAATAATAATAATAATAATAATAATAATATAGTGATGATGATTATAAATACATATGTCAGTTTAAGCTTTTAATTGATATGGATTATCACATTATTCAATTATATTCCATACCATGAACACAAAAAACTTGCCTGAATATAAGGTTAATTATCAAAATAGAATTAAAAGTCACTCACTTTGCATAAATAGGATCAAAAAATAAACTATGTTTTCAAAGGACTAATTATGTGTGTCTTGGATATATATACCCTTATAGCTATATTGAAATGTTTTAATTCATAATAAAAATAATAAAAAATAATAACAAATTCGTAAAAAATACTAAAAAATTAATAAAAATATTTCGATAAAAAATAATTTATTTATTTATTTTCAAAACAAATTAAAAATATAAAAAACTAAAAAAAAATCACCGCCACCTCTGCCGCCTCTGCACCACCACCTCCCTTCACCAGGGAAAAAAATGCCAAGTTCATTACGAATATCATATTTATGGCAGAAACCAATGAAAATGTTGGCATTCTCAAAGACAAATATGTCATGTTTTTTGCATTTTCAGAAAAAATGGGAGTTTTTTAGGGAAAATGACATTTTTCACTGCCTGGAGATGGTGGTGTAGGGAGGTAGTACAGGCGGTGGGAAAGGCATTCATTTTTTTTTAATTTTTTTATGGAGTTTTATTAATTTTTTTAAAAAATAAAAAAATTATTTTTTTTTTAAAATTTTTATTTTATACATATTTTATAAATTTTTTAATTATTTTCCTACGAATTTTTGAATTTTTTCGAATTTATTATGAATTAAATATTTAATTAACTCATATTTAAAGGAAGGGTAAGAATGGAATGAAAAAATAGGTATGTTTTCAATAGGATTAAAATGGTCCTATTTTTGAAAAGAAATATAGTAAGTCCTATTTTGAGTTTTTAATATAACTTTCACACTCGACTTCATATCATACTACACTTATTCTAAATCCAAATATCTAAAGTGCCTATGTATATAATTAATTATTACTCCCTCCGTCCCGCTAACAATGGGACAAGAGGGAGTGACACGCAAATTAATAAAAAGTAGTTCACGTGGTTGATATTGAATTGATAAAATAAGAATGATTTAGAACCACACAAATTTTACCAAATTTGATATGAGACAATCTTAAAGGAACGGACCGATAAAGTAAAATGAGACAATCTTAACGGGACAGAGGTAGTACTACGAAATCAATCAATTAATTAATGTGATATCTGTTGGGTTAAAAAATGGTCACTGATGGAAAAATTATGTCTATGCGTAAAACTGCAGGGTGGCCATGAAGTGTATATGCAAAATGCCCCCGCCTTTAACTCTGCTGTAGTTTATGCTTATCGTAGATTTCATCCAGACGGCCAAAAAATTGATGAACTTCCACCAGGAATCGAGTTGATTGATGATTAATTAAAAAGTGTATATATGTTACACTAAATATTATTATTGTTTAATGTTTTCTAGTTACTCAGTGTTGAATGAGTGCACATATACACTAGCTTTTCATGAGTCTTGATTCGTCATGAATGATTGAATATATTCATCCCTTGCAGGTTCAATTATTTATTTATTTATTTTTTGAATATATTACGTAGTGTTTAAATTTGAATAGTGTTTGTGTTTCGAATACACTAGGAGCCCGTTTGGTAGCACGAAAATCGGCTGTTTTGGCTGATTCTGCTGAAATTTATGAAGTTCTGGCTGAAGTGGCTGTTTTGGCTGATTCTGCTGATTCAAGAAAAAAAAATTAAAAAAATATTTTATTAATAAATTAAAGAAAAAATTATATGTAAAAATAGCTAAAATGGTCCTCTGCAGTAACTTCAGCCAATACAGCCAGAAAAGTAACTCCAACCTTACTTTTTCTGCTTATTACACAATTCAACACACGAAAGTAAAAGTTACGTGTTTGATGAAAAAGCTGGCTGATAAACCTGATAAGCCGAAAAAAGAGGTCTACAAACGGGCTCTAGATCTATGGTTAGCTAAACATGTCATAGCTTTGGTTGTCACGTCATTTTTTTCTTGCTAATTCATGTGATAGTCCAATACGGAGTATATGGTTAGCCACATTGCTTTCATCTTGAATACGCCCCACAAATCAATCAATTTTGAAAATATACATTGTGAATGAATTGATATATTAATATAATATTTTTTCGAAATATTTTCAAATCGATCAAGTTGACAAGGAAACGTAACCAAACTTCTGACAGATGGATCAAGTTGGTCATCAACTATGACTTTGACCAAACATTAATCCAGCGCCAACATTAAGAATCGACTGATTCTTTTTAAAATTTATGAAGTTCTGACCGAAAGGGTTATATTGGCTGATTCTACTTGTTTATGAAAAAAGTATATTTAAAATATATTTTTTTAACAAAATAAAGAAAAAATAAAATGAAAAATAGATCAAGGTCATCTAAACTTCAGCCAATACATCCTGAAAAGTAATTCCAAATTTACTTTTTCTTATTATTACACAATTCAGAACATGCCACGTGTTTGGTTAAAAAGTTAGCTGATAAGTTTGATAAGCCGAAAAACAGAGTCGTCAAACGGGCTCTAAGCCGACAAGGGTGAAAATGTATATTATTAAAATTAGCACAATAATATGCATTTTGTTAAGTTAATTAAAAAAAATAAGGAATATCAAAATTTAACAACCCATACATACTGAAAAATACAACTTTTGCATAAATATTTCATGAGTAATACTTGTTGTATGGATTTTCATAGTCCTCCATTTGAAGACCTTATGTATGAAAAATAAGAGTAGGAGAAAATATTGTATAACTTCATTTTCCAAGCATTCACTACATATAATTAATGGTACGAGATTAAACTTACTTTTAATTGAGTTAATATATCAATTACAAATAAATTAAATATATTTGGTAATTGTCATTTTAATTTAAGTTTCTCTCATTTCCAGCAATTAGCTTGTTTTGGCTAATTTGCTTGTCCAAGCTAGAAGGATAGATGCGCTCCAATGTTAGGTAGACTAGTAGCTTGAAAATTGCAAGCACGTGTCTAGAAGCAACCACCGGAGATGCTCTAAAATATCAATCTAATAGAAAAAGTAATTCAATATCTTAATATAACACTTTATTATTTCATATCTTTCCGGTATGGCCGGACTTCAACAGTTTGATTATACTTATGATGAGAAGTAGTTTATTCTCGACAACAATACATAAAAAAATGATTAATAGTAGAAATTGGAGTACATGTTTGAAAAGAGAAATGTTGTTAAAAACTACCCCGTAAAAGTTAGTGTTGTGAAAAAATGTTTGTTGTGTATCATAGGGAAATAGTGAAAACTTTTTGATCATCTCCCTGCTATTTAAATTTTAGTTTTAAATTACTTAAATTAACTTTAATTAGAACTGAAGCACCTCGGTCTTTCTTTTGAACGAAAATGGCTTGTATTAAACTATCAGAATCCGCACAAGTAACACCAAGACTAGAGAAAACTGATAATCTAGTAAGACCAGAAATCATAGCTCGATCATATGCCCTAGAATAGTCTTAGAATCAATCACCTCACCAAAAGCAATGTGATTTGCTAATCCTCATACACACAATTGTAAGGCGACCAAGATCGATCTAGAATCTTTGTCACTTATCCTATCTTGAACATTACCCTCGACAAAAATAAAGACTAAAACAGATTCACCCTGGGCAAAAAAACACCTAGCCAATTCAAAACAACAATCTGTGTGAGATGTGTGATGTGAGCATTCACACACCTGCAATGGAGGACATACCTGATGATGAAGAAGATTTGGGGAGTCAAGAAGACCTTCCTATGTCTGAGATAGGTTCTAATATGGGTGCACAATCTGAGAATGATGAGTTTTTGGATAGTAGGGAGCAGAATAATGCAAACTTTGAAGTTGAGGATGATGACTATGAAGATAGCACGGTGATGTATCCTTCTGATAATCCTCCCACTTATACTTCAGATACCAATGCTATTAATGATGATGAAGTGCAATCCAACCTGAACGATTATCATCCTTCATAGAATCCACAGATTGAACCCCTTTTATTGAGTTGGGAATGCTTTTTGAGGACAACATTCAGTTTAAGAGTGTCATGATCAGGTATGCAGTGCACCATAAGAAAAACATTTTCTTTAAGAGGAATGAATCTAAAAGAGTCCGGACACAATGCATTCAAAAAAACTGCCTCTTTTCTTGTTATGCCAGCTGGGAAGATAGGTTCAAATGCTTCCAACTGAAAACCATGATCACCACACACAGATGCAATCCCAAGTTCAAGTTGAGAGTTGTGAGTCAAAAATGGATAGAAGATAAATACGAAGACAAGGTTAGGGATGACCCTTGTATTGGGTATGTGACATTAAAAGAGCACATAGAGACTGAGTTGGGAATTCACATTTCTATTAGCATGGTGAGGAGGGCTGTGAGATGCATTATTGGTTTGTGGTGGGGTATGGGTTATAGTCTTTATTCGTTCATGCAGCTTTAAAGGTGGGGTGGTCTTTGGTTTTTTAAAGAAGCCAAGTACTTCACTCACATGGGATTGTTTTGTGCATTATTGGTTTTAGCTTTTGGCTCCTTACTCTTTTTGTACACTAGCTTCTTCAAATTGGAATTGTGTGACCGTTTGGTTTACATTTTTTGTAAACATAATTGTTGACATGGTCAAAGATATGTGGTAAAAATGGTTCTTCACATTGGGTTGTCTATATATTTTGTACATATGGAAGTTTATACTTTTCTATAATGTTCAAAATAGAAACATATCTAAATATAAGAAAGCTGCAATTAGTTTAACATAATAACAAGTTGTATTATAACAAAGGTTAATTGATTCATCATTAATACCCATACATTAACAACTTCAAATTACTAACCAAGAGTACTTTGAACCAGTAAACAACACTAAATCTACCAATGGGTAACAACTACATTCAATACCCTCACATTAAGAACAACAAAACAATTATTAACTAACTCCAAACTATTACAATCTCTTAAGAATAACAGCTGCAACAACAAATATCAGAAGTCCTTGCCACATTCTCTTTCAGAATATCTTCTCTTTAGCTTCACTTTCAAGAACCAGTTTGATGCATTCTATATCACGTTGCATAAGTAACATCAACCTCTTCAGATCCTGAATTGAGGATTCCTTGATGCCAGTAACACCCATGTATGTTTCATTGTCTTCATGGAAAGAAAGTAGATCATCTTTCCATAAAAAATATCCACACCCTAGCCCATCCTACAATCACATTCACTGTAAACAAGTATCCAAACCCTAACCCATCCAAATTGTAAACAAAATTTTCAAATTTACAGCTTCTTAAAATAATACCCACACAATCACAATCGCATACATACAAGACCAAAAAGTTTTGCAAAGTTACAGCTTCCAAAAATAGTACCCGCCCCAAAATCAAAGATTTTAGGGTTTTTTGCATCAGAAAACAAACCCAATACACAATTCCAGACAATTTCGCCAAAATTTGTTATATCTTCCACAATGAAAACAAACACCCCCTGAAAAGCCCTAAATAATTTACAAACTTTTACCTTCCATCTTTGGCATCCATAAAACTTCCGCCGCTATCCCGGGTTGTACACAAATGAGCTTTCACACCACACAGACAGTTCGGGTCGTACGCACTCACTTTTCTTCCCAGCGCAGAGGAAGATGACGAAAACATATCTTTCTATCTTTGACTTCTTTGTAGCTCGTACGCTTCCTTGGTCCGGAGATTTTAATGGAGGAGGTTGGGGTTATTAATGACTCAACATTAAATAGGAAGATAAACATGCTAAGGGCATTTAAGGGGGACAAACAGGAGGTAACTGGGTGGATGTGGGGATTGAAGTATTTAATTTGGTTGGTGGGCTGGATCAGAGCTTTTTTGGGTTTGGGGTGCCAATTGAGCAATTCGTATACGTTCAGGGGCCTATTTGACCATTTAGCAAAAAATGTATGATAATTAAGGGGCTAGAAGAGTTCGAATTTTATATTGACGAGATAAAAGTTTAAAACTTTGACATATTTTCTCAAATTATAAATATTTACTTATATATATATGTGCATAAGATACTAGTATGACATATGTAAATTAAATTGCAGGTATCAACATATCATCTCCATTATGTAAGCAATAAATTAGATTAACAAAAACACATTAAATAATTAAAGTGGAAACTAAAGTCCCTAAGTGTAAATGCACTCTACAGTCTAGAGTCTAACATTCTTCTTAATATATATCCTACCATAATATTTTTCTCACCTCTAAATAAATTTGAAAAAAATATACGAAGTATATATTTTCTTAACTTTCGCTTCCAATGAAATGGGGAGCTTATTTAGCGACCGACCTAAGGTGTAATATATTTTAATAAAGAATACTCCGTATTAGTTATTAATATTTGGTTTCAAGTATAAATAGAAGTATTATATGACTACTTGAATTGGGATCTAGGATGTCTTTACTTAGATCAGACCAGACTACATCAAACCAACTTAAATAGGCAAAACAAGATCAGCCTTTAACAGAA